TTCGTTTCATTTGTGTTTTGGATCTACATTTCTGATTTCTCGCTTTACATTCTCGTTTTTTTGTTTTTTCAAATCTTCCTCTCCTTCAATTTGAAGGCTTCAAGCCGTCAAAAGTTCAAAACTCAAGGTAATTTTTTGTTAATTTTTGTTGTTTTCGTTTTGATTTTTTTCGTTTTTGTATCGGTTTGTTTATTTAGGGTTTTTGTTTTCGTTTCATTTTTGTTTTGGATCTAAGTTCTGATTTCTGACTTTTCCATTCTCGTTTTTTTTTCCAAATCTTCCTCTCCTTCAAGCAGTCAAACCTCAAGGTAATTATTTGTTAATTTTTGTTGTTTTCGTTTTGACTTTTTTCGTTTTCGTTTCGGTTTTTTACTTTTTTTATTTAGGGTTTTTGTTTTCGTTTCATTTTTGTTTTGGATCCAAAGTTCTGATTTCTAACTTTTCCATTCTCGTTTTTTTTTTTTTTTTTTTTTCAAATCTTCCTCTCCTTCAAGCCGTCAAACCTCAAGGTAATTTTTTTGTTAATTTTTTCGATTTTTTTCGTTTTTCGTTTCGGTTTTTTTTTATTTCAAGTTCTGATAATCTACATTCTTGATTTTTTCTTTTGATCTCCAGTTCAGGCAGTTCTCCATCTTCAAATCTCCTTCAAGCCGTCAAAGGTAATTACTTTTTCCTTTTCGTTTTTTTTTAATACAGTTTTTCTGTTTTTGTATTTGATTGTTGTTGTTGTTCTTGCTTGAATATAGTCGAAATATGCCTAAAATCTGTTGTTGATTGTATTTTTGTTTTTTACGGGAAAATGGTAGATTTGTGCTGTTTTGTTTTTTATTATTCTCGATTTAAAAGTAACGATGATGGGTTGTTCAGATTATGTGGTTATTGGCTTTTTTACCTAACAAAAGACCAAATTGTGTCACTTTCTGCAGTTATGTGCATAAAATAAATGCTAGTTTAGGGCTAGTAAAATAAACATCTCATGTTTATTTATAGGTTCATAATTTCATTGGAAACTTTTGAAAAAGTTTAAGCTTTTCTTATGTATGCTTTTTTCTTTTTGAGGATATAGGGGTAAACTTTTGCCAAAGAATGTTGAGGCATGGTTACCACCCAAAATTGGTGTCGTGGTTATCAAGCGGATGTTGAGGAAGACGTCCTCCTTATTGGTAAAGAGATTGAAGCCGAAAGTGCTTCATCTGCATAACTGGTATTTGTGTCTCATTGTGGTTTATTTTATCTTGAAAAATCGTTGCTCTTGTCATTTATTTTCAGACTTGCTGGCAGCATTTTTCAAGACTTTTAAAATCGTTGCCCTTGTCATTTATTTTCAGACTTGCTGGCAGCATTTTTCAAGACTTTTAAAATCGTTGCCCTTGTCATTTATGTTGAGACTTAAATAGTTAAATGTATTTTGGTACTTGCTGGCAGCATTTCTTAAGTTTTTGTTAAAACAACCATTGCTCAATGATGTAAATCTGAGAGCAATTTTAAAAAAACAAAAGCTATAATTTTGAAGTTGCTTGAACTTGTTATGAGCTGCTGCCTGCTGGTAGTGGTTTTGCCTTTTGGTTGTTGTCTCTGCTGAGTTGTTATTGCCTATATTGTTGCCTGCATGAGCTGGTTCCTGCCTCCTGCCAGCTTGAGGTGCTGTGTTGCTGCCTTTTGTGTTATGAATTTATGATAAGTTTTGTTGCTGCTGTTTCTTATGCTTGTTGTTTTAATTTTTCTTGAATCATCGTTGCCCTTGTCATTTATGTTGAGACTTCAATGTATATGTACTTGCTGGCAGCATTTTTCAAGTTTTAAGTTAAAACAGCCATTGCTCAGTGATGATACGATAAACGTAAATCTGAGAGCAATTTTGAAAAACAAAAATAAGTTCCTGCTGAGTCCCTTCTGCTTATATTATTCCTTGCTTCTGATAAGTTGCTGATCTGTTATTCCGTGTGCTGGTTCCTGCTTGTTGCTGCTATTTCCTCTGCTCTTGGGTGCTGTGCTGCTGCTTCAAGATTCTGCTCCCAAATCACTCACATTCTCACTCCTCCCTTCATCTTATAATGTATTATTTTTTGCAACCCTAAACTTGATGATGTTTCAGTTGATAAATCTGAAATCTAATCTGGGTAGTAGTGATAGTAGTTTCATTATGTATTGGTATATGTATTGTGAATTTTAATCAATGAAAATGGTGACTTTTTTTAATTGCTTGTTGATATTACTCTAATTTCAATGCTATTTATCTACTGAATTTGTGGTAATGTTATGAAATAATTGTGGCTACAGATTTGGGATGCCTCCGTATTTATTAAAATTCTTTTACTTAATATCTGGTTTAATATAAGAAAAGCTAAAAAAATGTGTTTTATAAACATTTTAGTCCTCCCCTTTACAAAATACTTGTATAAGAAAGTTTTATAAAGTGATAATGTGAATGATTGTACGCCTTATTGACTAGTACAGTAATATTCTAATGCTTATGCCACTTGTGTAACGCAATCTCATACATCTCCAATCTTATGTTACCTTTGAGGCTTTGAGTGTTATTGGATGATCATGAATATCAAGGAACAATGAAGATAATTTGGGTGGACTAGCATTATTACTGGAATGAAAATGATACAAATGATATATCTTGTAATTAAAATAAATAAGTAATCTAAAACGATATTAATAATGTCGTTGGCCTAGATCTAGGTGATATAAACCTTTGTATAAACCTAAGCCGTTTGATTAGATCTACATTTATTAACATTAATTGTATTTACTATTTAGCCATTTAGGTTGTAAATAATTCAATTTGAGTTAAGCAGTTTGTAATCGGATTAGTTTAAACAGGTTGCGATTCGAAAATAGTTCGATTTTAACGGTTTAACGGGTTATGGCAGTTCAGTTTAGACGGTTAGCAGATTATAACGGTTCGGTTTATACGTGCGGTTTAAACGGTTTCGGTTCATAAACGGGTCGGTTTAAACGGTTAGCGGGTTACAAATGGTTCGGTTTAAACGGTTTTTTTTTTTCGGTTTAAACGGTTTCGGTTTATAAACGGTTCGGGTCATTAACGGGTTTATAAACTATTCGGTTCGGTTTCGTTTCGGTTCGGATTTGCGCAGTTTGGTTTGTTATCGGTTTACGGTCCGTAACGGGTTGACATTGAGCGGTTCAATTCGGTTTCGGTTTGATATTGAACGGTTCAGTTCGGTTTTCGGTTTATATTTATCGGTTTATAAACGGATCGGTCTGTGATGGTTCGGTTCGATAACGGGCGGTTTCACGGTTCGGTTTGAAAAGTCCCACCCCTAAACATTGCAATTCTAAGCAATACACAGTCGAATACTGAAGAAGATATTGGTGAATCTAGTAGTGGGGAGATTAAGCTAGCTAGGAAAAGGCGAACCTTGAAATTTATTGCTTGTAGGGATAACTTTGCTATTGAGCAAGATATCCCTCAAGTTCTAAGGAGCTCTAGTAGCGAGAAATCTGCATCGATGACTAAAACTACTCAAACAGGAGAGATACAAGAAGTTCCAAGGTAATGTAAACATTTCGAGTTGTGTTTGATTCAAGGGAAAATGTTATCAATTTCGTATTTTTGTGTTAACAGCAGCAATGTAGAGATCAAGAAATCTCCCTTGGAGAGGAAAAGAATACTGATCGTTGAAGATCATTTCTTACAACGAAAGCTTGCTGAAACAAGTGTTAAGCGTTTAGGTGCCGAAACTCAGACATGTGGAAATGGCGAAGAAGCTCTTGAGGTGGTCTGCAAAGCATTGAGCAACCAACCAAGTGGAGAACCCTTCAAGTTTCCATATGATTTTATAATAATGGACTGTCAGGTGAGCTGCGCATATTTATATGTTTTTCCAACTTATATAACTTACAGTAATTCACAATAGTTATTAACTTGAGGTGTCTTGTGTTTATCACAGATGCCAGTTATGGATGGTTTTGAAGCAACACTAAAAATCCGTGAAGAAGAGAAGTATGGACTACACATTCCGATTATTGCACTATCGGCTCATGAGGTGGATGGAGAAGAAGGCAGGAAGATTGCTGAGGCTGGAATGGATTCCCACCTGACAAAGCCACTTCGCGGTGAAGAACTTCTGAAAGTACTACAGCATCTGTTAATAGACTAAGAGATTTGTATAGATCATACATATTGTACTTTATGTAGTATTAGTAGTTCCTTATTTATGTGCCTGCAAATTCAGGATATTTTATGCCATGTGCAGGTACTTAATAGGCTTTTTTAAGTGATAAAAATTATTTGTAATCTGCAGGGATGTTAGTTTACTCCTACAATATTATAAGCGTTTTAAAATCCATATATAATGTACGTCGTACTTCATATTTATAAAGATTTAGAAACTACAAGTCTGTAATAAGAAAATGAAGATACAAAGCAAAACAAATTGTACTGAAACATATTAGCAAAAACAGGTGTACTGAACAATTAGAGGAAAAACAAGCTGAAGCAAATGCAATCAAGAAGCGTTAAGAGTGATCATCCTATATATTTTAGGAGTGTTAGGTCTGTTTGTGCAGATGCTTTGTTCATCATTTTAAACATGGTCTGCTGAAATCAGAAACCTTTCTTGGTAAAACTGCAGTAAGGCAATATAGTGTACTACTGTCTTTAAGAACATTGTGCGAGTACAATTAAACGCTATAAATTCAACAGAATAAGAAACTGGATTAGGCTAGTTTAGCATGGTTGCGTCCAGATCGAATTATCTACCAATAAGGCAAAAATTAATAGGTATAGTGTGGGATTTCATTTAACTAGTTGTGCTTTGCACCAAAGTGCTTGTATTATAACTTTGCACTTAGTTATCAATATACCTGCCCAACAATCGTCTTCAGTAAATTTCAACACAGCATAAAAAAAATTCCGTAACTATCACTGAAGCTGCGCACTTCCATTGGAAATTTAGAACTAATTTATCCTTCAATAGACCTTAACCAGGAAGTGCTGAAGGCCGCCAATTCAAGGACTCTTTCCATACTCCCTCTGTAACCTCTGTTCCATAACATCTGACCATTTAAATAACTATTTTCATTGTCTACAATATTCTGTACATCACTGAAACTTATGCTATCAATTAGAAATCCAAATAACAACGCAATAATTAACACCTCAAATTTCTGTATAAGCAACATTTAATGTGGAATGGCAAGAATACTTTATTGCCTAGTCATTGACCATATTAGACAATTAAGAACTCAATTATACTGAAATTGGAACATAAGCTAAAGTTTAATTGATATTTCGTGAAGCCAAGGACTGTACACATCCCCAAGGCGTCAAAGCTTGCATACCAAACATTGCTAAACGCCTAATCAAGCATGTCAGGGTACACCAAATCCTCTCGCAAGGAGGTAACAAACACCAGTCAACTATAACCATAACCTAGCTTAGTTGCTATCTGTCAAGTATAAAATGTTCCCATTTTCTTTTCCCACCTAATCTTCTCTTATGGGGGACAGGGGATGGCACAGTTGGAGCTGCCTTACTTATGATACGAAGGACGCACCTAGAAAGTAAGAGATATTTTAAACTCAAGTTTCTAACCAAGCTAATGTCCCCAATATCAAAAATTTTCCCGGCAGCTCTCCTGCTGAAGGTGCAAGGTATGTTATTTTTTTCCTGCATATTGATATATACATAAATAAATAACCATCAAGGATACATTATACATAAATCAATACACATATGCAAGCTACGTTATCAGTTTCACTTATATAAACATAAATCAATAACCATCCAAAGAATTACCAACCTTTGGACATCAACATCAGTAATATATATAAACCCAGCAACATTACTGCAACCATTGAAAGAAATAAACATCAATTGTTAATATTGTTATTGATATAATATATAAATTTATAAACATTTATATAAAAATAAAATAAAATAAAAAAGAAGGTAATAATCAAACCTTACTTAACATTAAATCTGTGAAAAATACCATTTTTATGTTTCTTGGGAGAAAACTTATACTTATTATAAAAAGACACCTTGTGGATGGATTCCAGCAAAAAAGTCAAATCTCAGGCCTATGACTCTTCCTTTTTCAATCCTTTTTAGGAGAGATAGACAAGAAATGAGAAGACCAATTTGCTTGCCGAATTTGGAGGGATAGAGAATGGGGAGGAGAAACATCAGGATAATTGAAAAACAGAGTGAAACACGTGCATAAAGGGAGAGGTAAAGAGAGGATCAAAGGTCTTATATATGACTTTTTAGCCGGAATTTGTCCATAAGGAGCATCTTTTGTGAAAAAAATTGCCGTATTAAGGTGTCTTTTCACAAATTCCGTATTAAATAAAGACTATTCTGACAAATTTTCTAATAAACATCAAACACCCTTCATTAGTTCATGAACCGATGTAATATAATGCAAAACATTTATGAACACATCTGCATTCCTCATCAAAATTACCTAGTAATTATGTCTTCCGGATCCTTGGCAAATGAAACAGCAAGCACAGAATGTAGCAAGTCTTGGCTGATGTTTACAGGAACCACCCTAGTAGGGTCCGCAGCAGGCTCTGCACCAATTGGCAGAGCTGAACGTGGTGCTTGCGGACCACCGCCAATTCGATAGACAGACAGGTCATTGAAATTAGCAATGTTGGAATGAGGTGAGAGATCATTCGCCAGGCCATAGAAATATTCCTGAAATTAAATTATAACAAAATGTGGCATCAACAAACTTTAAATGTCTAGGTAATTTGGAGAAACTATTCGCCATTTCAACTTAGCAATCAGCATATCGGAAATTTGATTTTATTTTTTATTTTTTTAATACTATTACATATACAAAGTAACAGCACATAAGCTCAGCTGTTAAACAAAAACTTAAATTTAAGAATGGCTACAAGAAAATAGTAAGACAAGAAAGCTGAGAACATAACTCTTATCACAAAGAAAAAAGAACTTTCGAATCAGTGTAATGTAAAATGAATAGTCAATTGGGACACAGACTGAATGACAAGTTAGAAACAGTAGTCGAATTAATTTATTAAGGTAGGGCACAGACTTATTTAACTGGCAAGTGAAGTCATAAACGTTTACTGGCCTATGCTTAACGCTATAAGTAGCAGAAGAATGGTCCACAGATGGAAAAATATTTAACTTGTCCTTCTCTAATGATATCGAATGTTCAAACTAATTTCGATATGTTTAGTCTTTTATCAAGCACAATGATGAAGCAAATTCTAAATGTACAGGTACAATGCCAAAGTTTAAATGCAAGAACACCACAACTAAAATAAATATATTCAACATATATCAATTTTACCACAAGAAAAGGTGAGAGATAATATCTAATTTATTACCCTTATCCTGTAGCCCCTGGATTTCTGACGGTATCTTGGTGGTCGGGAGACAACACCTCCAGATTTCTGTAGTTTTACTACATCAACCTTGGGCTTGGTTTTCAGCACATCTTTAAGCATACTACAAAGCTTTTCCTGCACAATACATAAAGAATTAATAAGATTAGAGTATGCATAAGTCATGGGCAACAAACCAAACGGTCCAACAATACTGTACTAGAATACTAGATCACAGAATCTACACTGATGGTAAAATTAGATAGCTGCAAGATCACTTCTAAGAATAAGATCGGAACACAATTCTCAAATGATTTTGAGAGTTTATATCTAAATCAGATTTTAAACAAAAAAGGGGACCTCATCCAAGTTAGTGTATGACAGTGAGAAGTACAAATAAATTGAAGTAAAAACACAGGTTACAGTAACACATACCTGGCCCAAAACCAATACAACATCTGCATTAAACATATCTATAGCCTGAAGAAGCAGCTGCAAAAGGACAAAGGATTCAGAATACACTACGGGAAACATTCAACACATCAGAGGCTGTTAATGAACTGTCCATAAGCATGAAAAAGCTCCAGAAGCATTAGACAACACACCTCATAGCCTACTCCTTCAATCCAACCCATTGTATTGATCACCATACCAGCAGCTCGTGATTCAGAATTACCAGAAAATTGTTTTTCAAGTGTTTGAGCAAGTTCTTTCACAGCTAATTTATATAAATCTACATTAGCACTGCAAAACAGCTCCAAAAAAAATAAGGTTATAGCAGTTGCAATGATGATGAAAGCTGTGATAATCAATTAAATATAACATTATAGTCACAAAAAAATAAATTTAGAAGTCCAAACACTATTACCTGGGACTTGTGTGTCCATAAAAGTAAACCAAAGGCATTTCAAGAGGAATTCCTTCCACTGGATCAATGGGCATCTCAATTGGAGTTGCTGCAATTGACCCAGGTACTGTTATACTTCCCTGGCCTATATCCAAATCCACAAAAGTAGGCTTCCAGCCCTGCTTGGCTCCCCAGCTAAGAAGCATCCTTGACAAAGTACTCTTTCCAGAGTCAGTGGGACCAACCACAATAACCCTGGGACCCTACAAAAAGGCCATCTGTTAGAGGATATAACAAAAACAGGCAAGTTTACAGAGCCTATATGTTACAAATCATTTCCTGCTCGAGTGGGAAGGACTAAGGAGACATAAATAGAGCATAATGAAGATGTAACAGCTTTCTTATCGACCTAGAAAACCTGAACTGAACAAAGCCTGAAACTGGATGACACAAATTTGACCCAAACTAAAATCAACTGTACTGGAACCAAGGTCACCCAAATATATATGGACAAATGATAAAATCAATATGTATTTAACTTAAAATATCTTAAATATGACCCGGCCAGATTCCGAGCCAACCTAACCTAAATCGTATGGTTAATCACCCCAATAGGACCGATACTAAACCCATTCAGATGGTCCAGCAGCCCGCTTATCACCCCGCCACCAGAAACTTTAGAATCAAGCCTAGTTGTGTGCTTGAAATATTCAGAATTTCCAATCTAATAATAGTAGTTGCAGGAATGTTGTAAAATGGATACATATTGCCAAGTTAGAATGTAAAGTTTTATTATGAAAAATGGTGAATAGTAAATGGATCCATAATGCAACATTGATGTAGGAGAAAAAAAAGGTGTCAGAATCATGCTGAAGCAAATAAGACCCAAATTTAGAAAAGTTGGTGTAGCACAAATCATGTACAGAAACAGCAAGTGATACCTCCCAGCTTAAAGACACATCTTTTGTTCAGCCAGCTCAACACGTCTTGCGAGATTTCACATAACTTGTTAGAAAAGTGAAGGGGGTTCTCATCCTCTTCTGTCCCCCTTGCAATAAACAGTTTCAACTTGCAATTTATCTCAGTTTTCTAACTTGGCAAGTTATTAGGCTTCCTACATGAAATTTAAGTTAAACTTACTAAGAAAGGAAAATTAATCATTCCTTAGTTATTAGGGCAATTGGGCAAACTAAATCCAGTACAGAAAGGAAAATTGAAAACTAAAAGCAACTATCACAAGACTCATTCTTTAAATTAGCTTAATCTGATGGCTTATATAGCCGCTGCACTACAAATACTACAAGAAAATTGTTCATGGTCAACAATTTTCCTCACTCTTAAAACTCCCTCAATAAGCACACACGACCACTCTCTCTGCAGGGTTCCACTTCCCCAGTCATGGGATTCATGGCATTCGGCAATTTTGACAATCCAAATTATTGATTATGACCGTGTTTTTATCAGCCAAGCCTGTGACCCATCCCTGGTATATCAGAATTGTTTCAGTCTATACTAATAAGTTTCATATCTCTGTTTCACAATTTAATTCTTCTAAGATTTTCATTCTAAAGTTTTATTTTAGAAATAGAGTTTTAATTCAGGGTTTCAACGGGGAGTATACATATATAATTTTGATGGGGAATGTTAAAGCTTGGAGGTTTTTTATTGTAACAACTAACAAGTTTTTCCCAAACCAAATTCCAAGCTTGCAGCTTTCTTGGATTCAACTTATGAAATGGGAAGGATGGTTTAAGATAAGACAAGAAAGAATAATTGGTAATGATGGAGAGCGAAAGGATCTAAGGAGTTGATTTTAGTTTAAAATCTTTTAATCAACTCTATGTCTAATCTTTTGCATTTTGTAAATTGTATCCAATATCCTATCTAAACTCCTAGCAACCCTTAATCATCCTTTTATAAACTACTGGTGCCCCTTTTAAAAATACTAGTACACCCTTAATTATATATAGTCCCCTTTCATAAAATAAGGTTACTCCCTTGATTGTATATAATACTCTTTACAAACTACCAATATCCCTTTCTTAATTGCTTTTTTTCACTGTTGCGCATTGAAAATTTTATCAGAAGATTCCTATATATGCTTAAAACTTATAATAAAAAATAAAAAAAATAAGGTGCCTCATACCCAAAAGGCTTGGGCCTAGGCTCGAAATACCAATTACGCCTCGTGCCTTTAAAAACAATGGTATAAATCAAACTTGTCATTAATTCCACTTTGGCATAGTGTCTACAAAAGAATCATGTTGATTTTGTAATACCTAACCTTCCTCATGATCAAGCTCATTATCCTTCTCTTCTTAAATTACAGCCTGATTATCCCAACTGAACAATTGTCTTCAGATTTTATCACCAGCCATCATTACTATTGACAAAGCTACCCTTGATCCTCCATCAAAGGTCCTATTACTGCTAAACACAAATAAAATCCTCCAAAAAGCTAAAGTGATAACCCACGACCCTTTTTGGTAAAAGCTTCTAGCAAAAATTGTTTTCTTGGCTCTTGCTTGAAGATAATTATCATTGAAATGGTAGTAGGCAATGCATCAACAGACTTTAAGTATCTTATAAACATAATGTTATCACACCTTATAGGGTGTATCTCTCTACATATAGTAAAATGCCCGGATCGAATTGACAAGTTTTGACTTTTGCACTATTCGCAAATTTTTAATTGACAAGTTTTAACTTTTGCACTACTCGCAAATTTTACTTTGACTAGCTTTTGAAAATTATAATTATAATTAAAACATATTCACATGGGATCTCGTTAGAGCCATTATAATGTAAATTTTCATAACATCAAATTTTAATAATTTTACTTATTTAATAGTTAGAGATGGTAATTGTTGGCTTGTGCATTGGTAAATGTAACATGTATTAAGGAAAAAATAATTACGATTACGGGAAAGAGTGTATTAGATGTCTTGTTCTATAAAGGGGGCTTCTAATTTAGAGACACAATAGAATTATATCTGGATTCTTAACAAGAATAGAGAGAACACTAGAAAATTGAATTTAGGGCTAACAATTTTTCTACTTGGTCATATATACACTTGTTCAGACTACGAAAATTTTTTAGAGTTGGTGGGAGTAGAAAATACCATGTCTAGGGTTTCCAAAATCTAGCTGTTTTAAGTGAAAACAATACCTGAGATGACTCAATATCATCGGAAGAAGAAGCCTTAGCTCTATTCCTCCGCGCTTCTAGTATGGCATGAACATTAACATAGCTTATCATAGGTGTCTGAACACAAAACAAAAGCAAAGTTTCACTAAAAGAAATTTAAGGGAAACAACTATCGGGCTTCAAAATCGATTAAGGAAAAAAAATCAAAATTCATGAAAACTCCGTAAAAAGCTAGCAAGTGGATGAGCATACCTCATCTGCTACATAATCAGATGTATCAGACCCACCATCCATTTCAATTGTGGCTCCATGCCATGTAAAGATCTGGTAAGTAAAACGGGGTTAATTATTAGATTGAAGCATTTACACTAAATTACTCTACAAACCCAATCTCCTAGTGAGCATACACAATATGTCCTACAAACTATCCTATTTCCTATGGCACAGTTACATTATTAAGAAGTCATGAAACCCAAATCTAAAACTCGATAGTGCAAGTGGCAAGGGAGAAGAAGGCACTAAAACAATAATTAGTAAAACACCGTCCAAGGTACTAACCACAAAATAGTCTAAATTACCCGCGGTAATAATAATAGAACCCACAGCAATGCTTAATAGTCATATACTCTCTCTCTCTCTCTCTCTCTCTCTCTCTCTCTCTCTCTCTCTCTCTCTCTCTCTCTCTCTCTCTCTCTCTCAAATAAAAAAAAATATTCTTATTTCTCCACTATCTACCAAAAACCAACCACACCCTACTAAAACCATCACTATGCATGCTCACACCCGACAGAAAGATTATTTACGGATAGAGAGAAGTTTTTTTTTTTTTTGATAGGATACCATGGTGAAATTTACTTCAAGACAAAGCTAGCTACTAGCAAAAACTAGCCAAGTGAAGCAAATGTGAATGTTTCTAGTTTTCCACAATCTCAAGTTCTATGAGAGGCATAATGTGGGTGGAAATCTCCTACTCCCACTTCCTTCCATGCTTACTCCTACATTAGTCTGGGTAACATAATTTCGGGTTCAAGACCTTGCCATCTACTCAGCATTCTGTCCAGTAATTAACAAACATGCACATAAACATGTTTAGCAAAAACAACAACTCATTGAAATATGTCATATTGCCATTCTTGTGGATCTAATCCTTGAATAAGATGTTATAATTTCTTGTAAATCTATTCAAGTATCCAACAATGATCAAAATAAGCACAAACATGTTGACAGAAGAGGATTCAATTTTTGTTTCACAACTTAAAAATCCAAACAACTCCTTGTTGAAATATGTCATACTGCCATTCATGTGGTTTCCACTCCTTGAATAAGATTTTATAATCTATAATTTCTTGCAAATCCATTCGAGTATCCAACAATGATCAAAATAAGCACACACAGAAGGATTCAAATTTGATTTCACAACTCAAAAATTGAAATCAAAGACTCGTAATATACCGCAAATTTAAGGCGTGGAGGAAAATTGAGCCAAATTTCTGGAGGAATTTCTGTACCATATATCTCAGCATATCCATTTAGCAGCCGAAGGCGAAGAGGCGAATTCTCGCCCACCTCAATTCGCAATTCACATTCTCTCTCCAACTTCACTTGCCTTGGTGGAGTGGCCCGTCCCTGAGCCGGGGCAGGAGGTGCAGCCGCCCTCGGCCCGGGGAGAAATGGTGCATTTTCATAGTTCCGTCCTAACATTAAACTAAACTCTGCAACAAATTACACCCAAATTTGACTCAATTATCAAAAACCAAGCACAAATTCGTCTCATTTGAGAATATGAATAGCAAAATTCTGGCAACAAAACTTCTCATTTTAATCATTCACAAATTCAGTAATTATAAGTTTATAACCATAACCAGTAGTCTAATTATCCATCATATAAGAACCCTAAATTGACTATAAATACTCGCACACTGACAATTAAATAATCGATTAATACTAGACTGTGAAATGGTTATTCGATTAGTATAAAATAATGAGTAAACTTACCTTAGGAGCTGCTTCAATGGAGGAAAAAAAAAGCTCAAAAGCCGCTTCAATGGAGGAATCGGAGTACGCTTCGGTGAAAGAGGGAGCTCACAAGTCACAAGGAGAGCGTAAACGTCTAAAGACGAAAAACTAAAGCTCCAAAGGGGGGGAAAATGTAATTGTAGATGGAGCATCACTGACACGCTCACACGCGCATAATGTCGATGATTCATTAATAGGGGAGTCTAGGGGTGGGCAAAAATATTGGGTGTCCATTATTCGGATAAAAACTGAAATTTAATTTAAACCAAATTTTTTATTTGGATTGGATTCAAACTTTAAATTGGATCGGATCGAATTGAAATTTTTTTAAATATTCGGATTTTCAGATCAGATCGGATTAACCTTTTTCGGATTCAAAAAATCGAGTTAACCGAAATATAAAATCATGCTTTTACAAATAAGGATACATTATATTAATCATGTAAACTTTTGTTGATAATTACATTAATATGAACTATGGAAAATTATGTTTTTAATAGGATTTTTTTGAAAATAACACCACATAATTTGAAAAAAATGGACTATAACACCACCTTTTTTCGATTTTTTATTATAACACCATCTAATTAAATTAAATTATGAAATGACCACCAGAAAACGAATTCTGTGACGGAAATTGTGTGTGGGTCCCACAGGTTAGCTTACCCTCTAAATTTTTTAGTTATCAAATTCGATTTTCTCTCTCCCTATTTCATTACTCCCTCTCCCTCATTCATTATTCTACTACTCCCACATTAATTTCTCAATGATAAAGATTCAACCACCAAAATTGCGAATCAGAATCAAACCCTAGGATAATTTGTGTGGTTGGGAGAGTGAATTGCAAGGAGAGGTGTCAGTGTTTAAGCGAAACAACTCGGCCATTTTCGTCAGCCATTTTCGACTTACATAAAGCTTATACTTTTCTGGGTTTCTGACAGCGACAGGATGAAGAATCTGAAAGAGGTACCACATGAAACTTGTATTTTACTTTGAATTTACTTTTGGTGTCAATTTTGCAATATTGATGTTCAGATTAGGGCTAATTTGGGGGAAAATGTCGCTGACTATAAAATAGTCAAAACTTTTGTTTGAATTACTGTGAATTATGGGTAATTAGGGTTTAATTGGGTAATTTTGTTTAGTTAGTGCTTCATTGAACTTAATTATGTGATTTTTGTGTAATTGATATCATTAGTTTGTTGCATAGTTATTTATACTTTACTTTAATTGAAAATTGATGTAAATCTGAATTGTTAATTATGATGGAATTAGTGCTTGCTTTGTGGTTGTGCAATTGGGATATAATATGTTAATTTATGTTCCCTTTTGGTAGTTGTGTTGACTGTTTTTGCATTTATTTCTTTATTGTCTAGATAATGGCCACAACATATGGTGTGGTTGATATTGTTTTTAGAGTGGGGGGTGCTTTTGTTCCCAATAGAGTGCACAAAAAAAAAAGAGTTTAATTGTCTACTGTGGTGGGTTATGTTATTGGAGGAGGGGTGTGAAAGTTAATAAGCTTGATGTGCCTTACATTAGAGAAGCTGCAATTCATGGTTTTGTCAACTTTAGTGTCAATGTGCCTACTCTTTACAGCTGTTGGTATAGAGAAAAAGGAAAAACCTTCAATTCTCCAAGTATATTCCTAATTTGGTCTCCACTCTCCTTAAAGTATGGCGGCTTGACAAAGCAAAATTCATACACTTCTCTCGCGTAGTTTATCATCACCAAATATTTCATCAATTCTCCAAGTATATTCCTAATTTGGTCGTAAGGTTTCTCAAATAAACACTCATTGGTTGCAAAAAAAAACATTGAAGGAGATATCAAAAAATAAAAATATAGACCTTATCAATAATCCAAAGCACTAAGTAAATTAGATCACTAAATAAGCATAAACAAATAGTCACATAATTACCTGCTTCATATAATGATCATTCATATATATACATATTACATTACACAAATCATCGCAAATTAATCTATATAGTATTCTTTAATCCTTACACATGATATTAGGTGATCACAACACCCAAATTTGCACGATTATATAAAACATGTACAATTAAATATAACTTGCACAATTATTACATTAAAAAAATAAATAGCACCAAAGAATTAAATTACAATGCACAAAGAAAGAAATCATCTATCCTATATGTCCTTCTTAAGACTACTCAAACCTCACACATAAAATAAAATAAGAACTCAAGTTCAAAGAAAAAAAATAAGTACGCAGATTCAATTAATTTCAAAAATAATTAATAACATAGTTTTTTATATAAATACATCTACTTTATTTAAAATGCCGATTTATTTATTTATTTATTTTTTTTGTGCGTGAATGAGATAAGAAGAGGTAAGCAGTAGCAAATTAGCAATATGAGTTTTATGTGAGATTTGAGGGCAAATTTTTGAGGGTTTTGGGGTTTATATAGATATATGGGCTTAGGTGTTTAAGTCTTTATTTTAATCCTAATATTGGGTTAAGTGAAATATAGGCTACATTCACTTAAAATTTGGGCTACTAATATTATAATTTAATATTGACAACCATGGTTAGTAAATAGAAAGAGGATCTTAATTTAAATAAAAACTTATAAGTTCAAATAAATTTTGCATAAAATTATTTATATATTGAAATCAAAATAAAATATTCGTGTAAATAATAAAGAAATATATTATAATTTACTATAATAATATGGGGGAATTACAAGTATGATCGCGAGGAAGGGGAAGTGGTTCCCATATCTATAGTCAAGGTTTGTGGTATTGTATTCCTTTAACAATATATTTGTATTTTTGGCAATAAATACTGAATTTATTGAATTAGTATATATTTAAATCATTAGTTGCTTTATTGTATAGTATTTACATTAATATGATTTTAATGTTATGATTTTGATTCTAATTCTTATTAATTTCATTCTTTGTGTAGGTGTAGGCTACTACAATGGAAGAAAATGTAGATGATCATGATGGACAGGAACAATCTGGTGACAGGGATGTCTCCACTTCCCAAGGAAAGTCATCTACAAGAAAGAGACGAGGCCCATCTAAAGCAGTCGAAACAACTACACCCATGTTCCTCAAATTTGATGAGTTTGACATGCCTATTAGAAAGTGGGAATCTGCTTATGGGAAGCAAATTGGTGATTGTGCTCAAAGAGTTAACATTAATGTGAAGGGATATCCGAAGTATGATAAAGTTCAAAAGCAAAACTTGTGGGAGGAGAGTAAGGTAATTAAGATATAAATATGGTTAGTGCTCTAAATTTAATGATACTCATAATTAATATTGAATATTAACAAACTCTAATTTTGTAGCGGAAGTTCCACATTGATGATCCCAAGGGTATTAAAGAGAAGAAGTTCCACGAAACTGTTGGTGCTAGATTTAGGAAGCACAAGTCTTGGTTAATTTCACGATTCATTACTAAGGAAACATCACCTCCGCCTGACTCACCAAGTGCAAACATTAAGCCCTAGGAGCTTTATGAAGGTTACATCACAGAAGAGCAATGGAAAGAGTTTGAGACATATTGCAATACAGATGAATTTAAGGTGTGTAATTATGAAAGTAATTTCCACATACTTCATTTCAACTATAACACTACTTACAATAGCTATTCCATTTGTAACAGGCTTTGAGTGAAAAAGGCAAGGAAAATGCAAAGAATAATAAGCATCGCCACCATCTAGGCTCCAAGAGTTATGAGAGGGCTCGATTTGATTGGAGTAAGACCAACAAAATTCCAGCAGAATCTTCAACCTCAAGCACAACAGATTCCACGACAAACAGTGTAATGAGTGAAAAGCTTAAAAACCAATCTCTTTGGTGGATTTTGGCCCGTCAAACTCGTCGTGCAGATGGATCGTCGGCTATAGACCCGAAGAATGCCTAAACCTAGCAAATAGCCAGTGCTATTGTAAGTATTGATCAGGTTTTGGCTGTAATTTTTGAGCTGACCAGTTCTGATCAGTGCTGATCTGTTTTGATCAGTGCTGATCTGTTTTGATCAGTTCATGTTTGGGCTGTAATTTTTTAGCTGATCAGTTCTGAACTGTTGTGATCAGTTCTGAACTGTTCTGTTCAGTTCAGGTTAGGGCTGTATTTTTTAAGCTGATCAGTTCTGATTTGTTCTGATCAGTTCTGAACTGTTCTGATCAGTTCTGAACTGGTCTGATCAATTCTGATCAGTTCTGATCAGGGGATGTTTTTGCTGAAAATTTTTGAGCTGATCATTCCAGAACTCTTCTGATCAGTTCATCTTTTTGTCGAAATTATTGAACTGATTAGTTTAGGTTTGGTCTGAAATTCTTGAGCTGATCAGTTCATGTTTTGGCTGAAATTTGAGAGCTGATCAGTTCAGTTTTTGGCTAGAATTTCTGTTCTGATTAGTTCGGATCAATTATGATCGGTTCTTATCAGTTTAGGTTTTGGCTGAAAATTTTGAGCCAATCAGATCTGATCAGTTCAGTGTTCAGGTTCTGCCAAATTATGTAATTTTCTTGGAATCTCATTATTTAACTTTCTTGCTGTATAATATGTTTATTTACGTTTTTTTTGTTAATAGTTGGAAAACTTGCAAAAGAATGTTGAAGGAAACGATTCAAGTGAAGGTATTGGTATGGATGCCCTCAACAAGGCTTTAGTAAAAAAGGATCACCGCGGGCATGTAAAAGGACTAGGAAGGTGTGTGGTTGGAGTTAGTCACACACAAGTATTTGGGAAGGGACATAGAAAGGGTAAATCATCCGGCCACGGTGGATGCTCATTGGAAGAGTTAGAATCAATGAAAGCTACCCTAACTCAAGAATTTGGGGCGAGGCTAGAAGAAAGGTTGAAGTGAAGCTTCAAGAGAGGATTCAAGAGAGGTTGGATCAATGTGTGGCAATGGAGGTGAAAGCTTATCTCGCCAATTTACTACCACATATGACCGGTGACGTGGAGGCATTTCAAGGAATGCAAGTGATGACGACCATGGAGGCAACACAAAGCACTCGTGTAATAGAGGTATATGTCTTATGAACTAATACTAAAGATGTGACTTAGCATGGTTAACATGTATAATATTGATCGAGTTTTTTGTATTATGTAGGTAGCCACTAAATGTCGCCTTGCATTGAAAGATGAGTACAATCAAAATTTAGTGGTTGTGGCAGATGGAACGGTATATCCTGTTACCGGTGAAGTTACTCACAACCTGGCCTGAAGATGTTACCCGATCATTACAGGGTTAGTGTGGACAACCCTTATCCCGATTGTGCCCTCCTCGATATACCGGTACTGTCTGCCGATGGTGTGACTAAGTTGGGTAAAGCCAAGTCTGCCTTTGTACTATGGCCTGTTGACATGGTTTATTTTGATGAAGAGCTATATTCTCCTGCTATTGACATTAAATTCCATCATTTTTGTATATTTTATCTGGACTAATATTCACCTTTTTATAAAGGTTTCACAATCGCCCAAAAAGAAGCATAGATCTACCCAAAGCAAAGAAGGGGACGATAATTGTGGCGTTAAATCAAGGCAATCTACCATCAAATCCACAAAATTCCAACCACTTGAAGATAAAATTGTTGAGACTTTTGGCGAGGGGTGTGAGTTGTTGTATTGGTTAATGAGTTCTGATGATGCAAAGTATGATACAACATTGGTACTTTTAAAGGCCTCAATGTTTAATTTTGACAGCGACAAACAAATTTGGGTAACTGCTACCGATGTACGTGAATTTCTAAGAGGAGCGTGGGCTAATGTTCATTGATCCATGTTTATATCATGTAGATTACTTAATAATCCTTTACTTTGGTTGTTTTATTTACTATAGTAATATTTTTACTGCTATAATGTTGATTTTTTCTTTGTTTTATGACTTTATCATGTAGGTACTTAGTAGACAATGTCATCGACCTTTTCAACAAAACTGAGATCACATTCTTTTGTCCCCAACTCATTTCTGAATCTTCAATTGAGAATGATTACCTTGAAACTTATGTGTATGTGAAGAATGCATTTTTGCATGAATTAGATAAGGCGGGTAAAAGTTGCAAATTCATAGTGGCCCCATATGTAGCAAGGTTCGAATTATGTTTTTTATACTTCAACTAAACTTGTTTTTATCAATGATTTGTTTCCTAATTGTAGGCATCGCTCGAAGTGCGCCTACGTAAAACCATGTAGTGAATATGCTTGGCACTCTTAGAAAGTGGGAATTGACGTATACGATTAGGAACAAGGAAAGTAGGGAGCCGCCAACAAGTTTTTAAGGAACTTGTAAACCTTTCACGGATCATTATTAAAGGCAACCACGATAGAGGGACAACGAAAGGCAACAACGATTGACCCGTGAAGGTTACACCCCATTCATAATCCATGAGATTACTAACTCCATATGGTTTGGAACCACGAAAGGAGGATCGGGGATGATGGTACGAAGTGAGTCATGGAGTCACATTCGCCCATATTGCCTCTACTCGATTCTTATAGTGAAAAGTGATTCCTGCGATCGCAAATGCATACAAAAAAAATATTCAATTTGCTACAAACTATTATTATGCTAAATTGGTTGAATATTAATGCAACATATAATTCTAAAATATTAGTGATCACTTGAGTTAATAACAAGATTAAAAAGGAACCTAAACCGGTCGTCCAAATTATCTTATTAGGCGTGATTTTCAATTACATATTCCCTTTAACATGCAATATGGTGATCAATAAATAATAATAGAATAAACATTAATATTGGAAGCAATTTAACAATAATAACATTAGTCAAATCAAATATAAAATAACCTAATCATGATACTAGCAATATAAAATAAAATAAGAGTAATTAAGTGATTAATTACTCACTTTCCGTGTTTCCTTTAAATTTCTATATCATGAATAAACTGTTAGTAACTTCAATTAAAATATAAATCAAGTTAAAATAATTAAAAAAATTAAAAGTAGATTTTATTTGGTCCAAACCCTCAGTTAATTCTGCCTTTTCACGCCTTGGTTTTAAGTATAGAACTTCAGGTAAAGTATGGACTCCTTGGAGTGCTTAGGGGAAGTATTTTGAGAGAATAGGGTGGCTAGTGTTTAGGCTAAAGAGGGAGAAAAGAATTATTTGATGATCAAGCTTGTTGATTATTGAAAAAGGGGAGATATGACCTCTATTTATAGGGAAAAAATAGGGTCGAAGAAAACAAGATAAGATCCGAATTAAATCGGAATAAAACTCGATAGACTGTATTTTTTGCGGTTTTGTTTTTATCATATCTTTTGATCCAGAAATCGGAATAAAACAAATAAGATATTGTTGAAAATCTATTTAAGTATAATTTCTAATCCAATTAGAATCAGATTAAAATATTTTGTAGAATAAAAGATATAGCCGAAATAGTGAGACGCTGTCAGTTTTGGATAGAGTTTGACATTTTATTCATATCTTTTCCGTTATAGCTCGGAATTGATATTATAATATATCATTGGAAAGATAATTTCAAGGGCTATCCAACCATATAAAATTTGGATAAAAACTATGAGGAACAAAAATAATATCTGTCTATCTTTGAACGTCTTTCAATTCGGATAAAATTAGGACTTTCAAAAAAAGGAATTTTATTCAATTTCAAACTCTTTAATCTTATCTTTTCAAAAAGGATAATTAAAATCTTTTAGAAACTTATAGAATCTTCTAATTAATCCTAATTGGTTTAGGAATGGGATTAAATAATTTGGACCCTCCACGTGATCATTGGGTTGCAGGTAAGGTGGGCTTAGGTTCGGTTTGGGCTCAGTTTAATATTTTGGTCATAACTTATTCGTTGTAACTCGGATTTGGGCTTATAATATATCGTTGGAAAGATCTTTTAAAGCCCCATAAAATTATTCAATCAGTAGACCCAGATTATGGACAAAAATAAACTGGATTAAATGTTTTTATAAAAAGGACATGAAATGAATGATTTTAAAGGACACGAAAAGAATTATTTTGGGTTTAAAGGCACGAAAAGAGGAAAATAAGTTATGGTTTGGGGAAATGGGATAGGATTTGGGTTAGTTTATGAAATGGAAATATGGATTTAAGCACTCCAAGATTAAATACTCAACCCGACTAATAATGGCGGTGAAAGGTTGTTCATCATCGGGTTTGGTTTTGGGGAGACATTTTTAGGTGTCTACACTAATACTCTAACTTATATTTACCTTTTAAATGATGTAGTGATCATTGGGTTCTTGTGGTGGTAGATCTACAATTAGGTTTAGTGTATGAGTTTGACTCTATGAAGCAACCTAAAGAAAAACCACGACCAATGAGAATTGCCGAAATCATGATACGTGAGCCACTAACTTCAAATTGTGCCCAATTGAGTTTCTATTTTCATATTGTTTGTGGTATTTGACAGGGTAAAGTCGTATCCCCTAATCAAAAGTAATTCCTAAATCCTCTAACTAGTGTAGATAGGGAAGTAGGGTCGAATCCACAGAGAAACAAGTCTTTCTATTCCTAATTAATTAAAGTAATCTAAATTATAAGGGTGACCAGGGGATCCTTTATCTCCATACTTGTTTCTCTTCTGTATGGATATTCTGTCACGCATGCTTTCGATGGCGGAGAATATTAATCAGATTCAGGGGGTAAGGGTGATCAGGAGGTCACCAAATATTTCTCACTTATTTTTTGCAGATGATGCTATGTTATTTTTCAAGGCGGATAAGAGGTCTTGTACGAATGTGGTTGACATATTACATAGATTTGGGGATATTTCAGGACAACAACTAAACTTAGACAAGTCCTTTGTCAAGTTTAGTAAGGGCTCTCAAGAGGCGGAAGTTGAAGAATGCAGAAATATTCTTCGTATGCGGCAGGTTTCTCTGATGGAGAGACACTTGGGAGCCCCTATTGATTTTACTGCAGGGAAGAAAGGGGCGTTCCAGTTCCGAATTGATAAAGTCTCCAAGAGAATTATGTCGTGGAAATCTGTAAATTTGTCCCAGTCGGCAAAATTAGTACTGATCAATACTATGTTGATCAGTATTTCTTCTCATGTTATGAAGTGTTTCAAGTTACCTTCTTCTATCACCAATAGGATTGACTCATTGGTGGCAAGGTTCTTCTGGGCAAACAAAGGCGATAAGGGGATGCATTGGGTGAAGAGGGATACCTTACATCTCCCAAAAGGTATGGGAGGTTTGGGTATTAGGTCCACGGAGTGTTTAAATGAGGCTCTCTTGTTTAAACAAGTCGTTCGTATGCATTGCAATCCACAATTGCTAGTAGCCAGAGTGTTGGAGCCAATCCACAATTGCTCCATTTGCATTGGACGACAGAAACCTGGGGGAACAGGTAACATCTCCTGGGGGCGGAGAGGCCTCCGGGTTGTGGGGAATAAACTGATACAGGGTTATGCTTGGAAGGTTGGGGATGGGGAGACGGTGCGAATTGCAAATATGAAGTGGGTTCAGGGTGTAGTCTTGGAGCTGAAATCAAGCCTTATCCTTAGAGGAATAGGGTCAGGAAGTAAAGATCTCCTGACTCATAATCCAAGACAGTGGAATGTAGCGCTTGTTAGAGAGAGGTTTGAATGGGACTCGGCTAGGAAGATCCTGGAAATGGAACTACCGACAACTGATGAAGAAGACCTACCTTTCTGGAATTATCATCCTTCGGGTAACTACACTGTTAAAACCGGGTATGCTTTTTTAATGCGTGTTTTTTCTTTGGAACAGGATAATGCTCGGGACTTTTCCTTCTACAAACTGATCTGGAAGCTCAACATTCCACCAAAATGGAGTTTGTTTTTATGGAAGCTGTGTAGGAATGGGGTGGCTGTTAAGCACAACTTGATCCAACGAGGTGTGGAAATTGATGGAGAGTGCGACTCTTGTGGAATGGAAGAGGAAGATACTCAATATATTTTTAGATTATGCTCTTTTGCGAGATATGCATGGAAAAATTGCTCCCTGCATATTAGCTCTGAAATTGAAGAATCTACTCCCTTGGGACACTGGATTCAGAGTCATATCCTGTTTTTTATAGCGAGGATGGGAAGCACAGTATTAGGATACATGTATTTGTTGGCACTTTGTGGAGCCTCTGGTTAACTAGAAACGGGAGAGTCTTCAGAAATGAAGGGGGGTATCTGGCTGACTTTTATAGACATTATAATCTGACCATGAAAAGTCTAGATTCCTTCCTAACACCTAATGTGAGATCCAATGGGGTCCTACGAATTTCAGATAGTCTGGTAGGTCAGCCACCAGGATTTAGAAGATTCAATATTAGAAGGTGTGGTGATCTACTGGAGACACCCCTAAGTGGAGATATTCAGGTTGTGATTATGGTGGACGGTTCATGGATGAAAGGCAAGGGCCATGGAGGTTTTGGGTGGGCTTATTCCTCGGATGCAGAGGAATTTCTTGAAGGAGGAGGGGATTTTGGCAATGCCCTCTTGGCTCTTCATGCGGAATTGTTAGCTTGTCTAAAAGCTATTAGGTGGGCACGATTGAAAGGGTACCAGCGTATCACAGTCTTCACAGACTCTAGTGCTATTATCCAAAACTTACAACATCCAAATAGTAGAGAGATGAGGCTACTTTGGACTTTCGGAAATTTATTGAAAGAGGGTCGTCTCTTAGATAAAGCACTATTTGGAAATTCGATAGAAGCCAACTTTCTATGGTGCATGATATTGCGGGAAGGTGTAGGAAGGATCTAATTAGTTTCTTGATGTAATTGCTTTTAGTTAGGAAGGATCTAATTAGTTTCTTGATGTAATTGCTTTTAGTTGCTGTTGTCATATATATATATATATATATATATATATATATATATATATATATATATATATATATATATATATATATATATAAAGTAACCAATATGTAAATTTGGATATGAAACTGAACTACGAAGATTAAGAATAAGGAGAAAACAATGAATAAAAGGATCTAGGGGCATAGGTTCACCAATAAATGATATTCTAGGGTAAAACACAATAATCAATCATCAATGCATACATTAATTAGATCATAAAGGGATTTTGCTACGTATTGCAATC